CTGGGGAAATAGTTCCAGCAATGCTTGAAGGGACCCTATAATCAAGCAGATGTTGAATGGTAATGGAGGCCTTGGGAAAAGACGGTCAGTCTGTAGGGTGAGAACCAGAGTTGTAGTTGTTTTTTTGAGCTGTTTCTTTTTGGGGACAAAGTTTGGCTGCTACAGACACAGCATGAAGATTTGAATGCTCCCTGCCTAATCTCCCTCACCAGCTTTTGGAAGCCCAGAGAGTAAAAAGCTGAGTTAGAACTATTATTAACTAACTGAGTGAACTGAAAAGGTGACCCTGATCAACATTTGAGAAAAGCAACCAATGAGTCAAAATCTATGCCTGTGAAACCGCGCATCCTGAAATCCATTTTAGTAATTTGGCCAGGTTTGTTAATTTTTGTTTGTCTGTCTTTAGAGTGACTGGGGCTGAAAACAAATATTTCAGATTTAAATCTTAGAAGTAATTAGGTTACCTTGTTGTTTAATGTTTTCACCACCGAAGTTACTGTGTATTTAATGAATTGTTAAGTCTTTTGCTTGAGATACAAAACCAGTGACAGGAATTAATTATTTGGAAGGTCTAGGATTTGGTTATTTGAAAGTCTGATTAGAAACCATTGGGGTAACTATTGGAAGTGTTCAGTTTTAATTTTACTGTACTGCAAATACAGAGGGAGAAAGGCTGATTTGCTTCAGCTGTCTGTGTCCATGTTGTGACTAATACAATTCACCTTACTACTTATTGCTGAAACATTGTCTGCACTTTACCCACTTTGAATTGTAAAGGTGTTTTTCTTGAACTCCCTGTTGAATTTATGTGTTCTTGTTTATATGGATCCTTGTTTTGTTTATCCAAAAATTGGAAATGTCCCTAGATATAATGTACAAAACCCCTCATTATCTTAAAGATCTTTGTCAAGTTCTCCTTAAATCTGTTATATATGTAGAACCAATGACAGCCTGTTCAATATTTCCTCACAGGAATAACTTTCAGTTGGAGTTCTGTACATTGTGGATCAATTTTACGTCTTCCCTTATGACTTTGTATCTGTTCTTATAAATCAAAACTGTGCATTGTACTCCAAATGCAGTCGAACAAAGGTTTTTCACAAATGCAAAATAGTTTATTTGCTCTTCAACTCTACCATTCTAAAAATGAGCTCTTGATTTTTTTTTACAAAATGGCTCTTTCATTTTCCTTTGCTGGTTCTTCTAGTTATTGTTGTATAAACCAATTTGTGCCCCTGTTTGATTTCAACTGTTATTTTGCCTGTGACTGACTTATTCTATATACCAAAACAGAGTCATAGCGATATACAGTGTGGAAACAGACCCTTTGGTCCAACTCATTCATGCTGACCAGATATCCTAAATAAATCTAGTTCCATTTTCCAGCATTTGGCCCATATCCCTCCAAACCCCTTCTATTCATACACCCATCCAGATGCCTTTTAAATGTTGTAATTGTACCAGCCTCCCACACTTCCATTGGCAGCTCATCCCATATTTGCACCCTCTGCATTAAAATGTTGCCCCTTATATCCCTTTTAGATCCAGGGAAGATTGTGGCTATTCAACTTATCCATGCTCCTCATGATTATATAAACCTCTACGAGGTTACCCCTTAGCCTCTGATGCTCCAGAGAAAATAGCCCCAGCCTGTTCAGCATCTCCCTATAGCTCAAATCCAATCCTGGCAACCATCCTTGTAAATCTTTTCTGAACTCCCTCAAGTTTCACAACATCCTTCCTATAACAGGGAGACCAGAACTGCATGCAGTATTCCAATGGTGGTCTAACCAATGTCTTGTACAGCCGCAACATGAATTCTCAACTCCTATACTCAATATGCTGACTAATAAATGCAAGCATACCCCTACAGGCGGCACGGTGACTCAGTGGTTAGCACCGCTGCCTCACAGCACCAGGGACCTGGGTTTGATTCCACCCTCAGGTGACTGTCTGTGTGGAGTTTGCACGTTTTCCCCAAGTCTGTGTGGGTTTCTTCCAGGTGGTCTGGTATCTTCCCATAGTCCAAAGATGTGCAGGCTAGGTGGATTGGCTATGCTAAATTGCCCTTAGTGTTCAGGAATGTGTAGATTAGGTGTGTTGTAGGGGGATAGGTCTGGGGCGGATGCTTGGAGGTTCAGTGTAGACTTGTTGGGCTGAAGGGCCTGTTTCCACACTTAGAGATTCTATGATTCAAACACCTTCTTCACTGTCCTAACTACCTGTGACCCACTTACTCATAAATTTATTCAATTGCCAATTATATGCCTGTCTGTAAATTTATTAATGTCCCTCAAAATTTCTCAGTCTTTCTCAGTAATAGCTATGTATTTGGTGCTCCCCTAATTCCACAATCCAGTTTGTTTATGTAAATACTGAACATGGTTCCAATCCTGGTGGAATATCATTACCTACCTTTAGTTAATCTGAATAGCTACTGTCAGCTCTTATGCTGTTGATTTGTAGCTATTTTGCTATCCATTCTGCTATTTATTCCCCGACTTTACATGTTCTAACTTGGTTGGTGACCTATTATATGACAGCTTATCAAAAGTCTTTTCAAAATCTGAAATAATCACATCACATCTAAGTGAACTTTCTATTAATTCTTCAAAGGTTCTGACTGATTACGCATGAAATATTAAAAATTTGAAAAGCATGTTGCTTTTTATTATATTTTAATTCCGTAGATACTTTACTTTGAGTAAAAATTTCATTTGCTTTGAATATGAAAAAATATATTGCCCCTTCTAAAAAGAATTTCATCCTTGTTACAATAAAATTTGTTTATTTTATATTTGTAGGTTCAGACTAAAATGAGAAATGTACTTTGCTTGAATTGTCAAATATGAAAAACATCTTATTGTCTGACATAAATAAGTGACTGTTCAAAAAAAATTAACCAAGTGCTACAGATTTAATCTTGTCCAAAATAGCTGAATTATTTCCTGGAAGAAACAATCTTCAAATCAATCTTGAATCAAAATCTGTATATTAAGAGTTTTAAGGCATCTGATTAGCAGTGATTACAATGCACTTTCAACGATTTACTCGACATTAAGTATGTTTTTACTAAATAGCACTTAATCTGGTACAGAATATCTAGATATGCATTCTATAGCTTTAAATTTTATTAATTTGCGCGAGTTTCAGAAAATATGCACTTGTAAAGTGGTCTGAAAGAAATATCAATTCTACCTCACGACCGCAGTGTTTTTTTTCAGTAGCCTAAAATTAATTATTATTTAAAGTCTCTGTTTTCATTCAACTAGAAAAAGTGCAGGTTGTGTTTACGTCCGTTCATAATTTCGGCGGTGCTTCTTAAAAAGAAAAAGGCGGGCACGTGTAAATGTATGTGTGTGAGTGTGTGTATATGTTCCCCCCGTTGATAAAACGAGTGCGGCCAGCAGTTTCTTTCTTGTTTTTGTTTGCTGCTGCTTGCTATCTTCAGCAAAGCAGGACACGGTCTTACACGTGACGGTGGAACCTTAGTCGGGGTGAGAGGGGGATAAGAATATGCATGTTCTCTCACTCTCGAAAACGTTAATATAGAGAGGCCAGACACACAAACTGTAGAGGGAGAAAGAGGCAGAGATAAAACCTGCCATTTCCCTGGGTACACAGGGTGGAGGAAACAATTGATGAGAGGCAATCCGTGTTGGATCAATCAGTCCCTGCTAGGAGGGAGCGGTTATGAAAGAGTATGGATCAAAGTTGTAAGTTTGGGGAGTTGGTAGGAAGCGGTTGCAGTGGGCCAAGCATTTTGCATTATTATTTTTTAGGAGGGAGTAAATGGGGTGTCAGGGTCGCTATGGCAGCTGCGGTGATTGACACCGGGCTACATGCTAATGAGCCCGTGTGTAGTATATTTACGTTGAACCGGGAGCCGCCCTTCATTCACCCACATGGTGCAGCATTCGCGCCACTTTGCAGAAATCGCAGCAGCTTCCTTGCCACCAACCGCTTGTCTCTTCGAGGAGCAAATGAGAAGGGAAGGGGGAAAGAGAGAAAATCATGCACAGGCTCGTTGCCAGGATTCGCCATCTCCTTTCCTCTCCCACGCCCCCCACGTCCCGGCGGATGGTGACCCTCGTGTTCGGTTCATTTTTTTTCAAAAAAAAGTTTTTATTTTGCCCGAGCGGCCTAAAGTTGCAGCCGTCTCGAGTTGCGTGAGTGAAAAGCGTACCCGTCCGCCCGGTGTTGGTATGGTATGTGTTGGGAGCTTGCTTCTGCTCTCTCTCTCCATCTCGATCGGTTCTATTCCCCGTTCTTTGACGGTTTTGTTCTTCGCGGCCTTCTCTCTTTCGTTCCTCTTCTCCGGGTTTTCGTTGTAGCCTGGGCCTGCTTGCTCCGCTCACCGCGCACTCGCTGCCTGTTGGCTTACTGGTCTATTTATTTATTTAATTTTTTTGCAGTTGGCGCCGTCGCTATTCTCACGAGCGGAGAAGGGGCGGGCTCTTTCTTTTCATATTTCTGTGTGAGAGAAGTGGGGAAAGGGACGGAGCAGCATGGCGTCGGGACTGGGTGCCCAAGTCGGTTCGATTAGGGTCGCAAGGGATGCTTGGCTGCGTCACAAAGCGGGGCCTCCTGAAAGGGTGAAGGTGCAGAGAGGAGAGCTGGAGGTAGTGTAAGTGATAGTAGGGGTGGCTGGGACTTAGGTGCTCGCCACCTATTGCTCGCTTGTCTCTTTCCAGTCGTCTTTCTTCATTACGGCTCCGTTTGCTGTCTCGCCCTCCGTTTTGTGGGGGTGGGAGGGTTCTCATTCCCTTTTCGTCTTTTTCTTCTCCCACGCCCCCCCCACTCCTCCTCAAAGTTCCTCAGAACAAAAAGCCACATGTTTGAGTGAGTGGGCCTAGTTGGTCCACGGCGCAGCCCGAGGAGGCGGTGTTACGGTATTTACTTTTCTCTCCTCCCCCACCCCTCCTCCGGGTTGGGGTGGGTGGGGGTCTCGCGCCCCTGCCGTTGAGCTTCTGAAGTTTGAATTTAAACGGTCGCAGCGGTGGCGGGGGCCGCGTGTACAGCGCGCGCTGCACTGCGGGGCCGCGGGTGTAGAGGGGGAGGGGGTAGTTAGTATTTAGTGCTAGTATTGTGTTTGGGGTTACTGTCGCTCATGGCTGACGGACTTGAGGTGATTGTGCAGCCGTTTCGCGCAATCATTATCGTTTCCGCGTGTTTTGTTTTCGCCCCTTTGTGTGGAAATTTTTAACACAAATCGGGTTCCAGCCTCGGCGGCGCCATGTTGTGCAGGGGAATGGGGGGTGGATACGCGCATGCGTCCTTGTAGCACGCGTGTAGGCCTCGGTTTTCCGTCCGTGTGGGTTTTTAATCGGGCGCGCAAGGTTTGAAGGGTCTGGGATTCCGTAGGGCGCGCGTAACTGCTCCTCTTTTGGGGTTTGAGAATTAGTTGTTGAAAATAACACCTTTTTTTGTTAGATCCCGCCGTTGTTTGCTGTTCTTCCTTTTTTCCACAACGTGCCCCCTCACCCTCCCCGCCCCATCTCCGGCCGCGGTGAAGTGTGCTCCGGGTTTGTCGAGTGCGTCATTTCTGACCGACCGTTGACCCTCGACGTCGAGTGGCGGCTCCTGAAAAATGTGGCGGCAGCGTGGTGCTAGAGGGAGGGAGAGCGGACATGGCCTCCTCCTGTCCCGTGGTGTGGGACAGGTGATGGAGAATACGGCCGCCTCTCCCTTATCCGGCAGCGTGTAGGTCTGTATGGCCTCCTCCTTATCTAACAGTGCGGAGCAGAGAGGCCGTGCAGCCTCCTTTCTCTTGCTCTACCGCACTGATGGATAAGGCAAGAGAACAGTGCCTGGCATGACCTGCATATCTGTTAGCGTAGGGCAGATGCAAGAGTGCACAAGTCGCACGTGTAGTCTTCACTAGTTTGGAGAGGGACGGTGTGTACGCGTCGCGTGTCCTTCGTCAGCAGCATAGCAGGGAGCCCAAATCCAATCGTGTCACTGCACATCTCCCTCCATCCCCACATGGCATCTCTTCACCTCCTGCATAGCAACCGTTTTGGAATCCAGTTGGATAGTGAGTGACATTTGTACAGGAGTGTAATCCTGTTCATAAAGTGCGGAGGTATTATTCACTGTTCCTTGATCCTTCGTGTCTATTTCCCCCTCCCCTCCCAACTGCAGTGGTGTCTGAACATTGTCTCTGGGGTTTGTCTTTTGTCATATATGGCATGTTTGGTTATTTTTAAGTGGGGTATCTGCTCAATGTCTTTTTTGAACTTAAATGCTACTGGTAACAGTCTCTCATTCTGGCTCCATACTTATCTGGCTCATCATTGCATCTTGTTGAGTTTCATAGTTTTGCCACTAAGTAGAGTAAGAGTAACAAGGTATTAGCATTCGATCAGAGCTATCCTGGTTATCTGCTGTTTGTGAACAATGTTCAACTTCAATCAGCAAACTAGCCAATTATTTCAGAATAAATAGCCCAGCCTTTTAAGTCCTTGTCTGGAAGTGATGAATGGTATGTGTTGTTCCATAAACTGACATTGGATGAAGTTTGGTTTCTTACATAGTACTGGAACATGAGGCAGTTCTGCATTTACTTAATTTCCTGATTGTTCGCTTGTGCATAGTGATGATGAGCCCTTGTATGGCTTGATATTGGGGTGGAATGTTGACAAGAGGAATACCAATTGTGTGAAGGTCCTACAAATTCAAGTAATGAAGTAACTTCTGTCATGATTACTGACGATGGTTCAAAAAGCATATTTTGATCCGGAAACTGATTTCACAATACACCTTGCTGTTTCTGAAGAGCTGGCACAAATCTGATTCAAAATATGGTTCTAACATTAATGATCCCAATTGTTGTATTGCCTGTTGTCTGGCTTGTTACTAGTGCTAAGGTTTTATAGAATTTCAGTGAAATAGATTTTCACTACTAGAATCATGAAAACTGCTAACTTGCATGATGAGGAAAAGTTGTCATTTGATTTTACAAATATTATTAGGCAAACAACAATGCATATCCAAAATGGTTTGTCCCACTAAATAGTACTGAGATTTAAAAACTGGATAAATAGTTTCACTAGGTGAAATAATGGCCAAGTTGCATACTTTAAATCTTTAGTGGAATTTTGACACAACAGTGGTATGGAGGAGGGTTCTTTTGAAGTTGGGTAAACTGTAAGGGCATGAACTTTGACCACCAGGTAGTATGAAAACCATGTCAAGTGTACTCATTACATTAACGATAGTCATGTCAGATTTGAAATGTTAATTCTGTTTTCTCTCCAGATTCAGCTGGACCTGCTGACCTGAGCATTGCTTGTTTCAAACCTTATAGTATGCCTGCCTCTTCTGTAAGCGAGGCAGATTGAAAGCTGGTCATGTGAGCATTGTGTAGATGTTGGCTGATAGTTGAATCACTCCAGCATTTTCCCCCACCCTGAGCAATTGCCTTTCTACAAGTCATGAGTTGAAATCCAGAATGATGCACAATGTTTCACTTGAGCGAGCAAAAACCTAACTACAATTATAACTGGATATTTATGTACATGCCACTATCCCTAGCAGAATGAGCACATTGGTGTATAGAGTTGTGTTTACAGATCTAACAATCAACTTTTGTTTATTTTGCAGATCTGAATGCCAGAAAAAACCTGGAATATTTTGGTGCCTGCGGTATGGTCTAGGTCAGAAGTAATGTCAAAGTGCTTACAGTGCAGGTAGTGTCTAAAATCTACTGCAGTGGAGGCACTTCAAGCATTATGTTGACAGTAGCCCTCATTGAACCTTCTAATCTAACTACAGGCTTATCTTTAGTAAGGTCTCTTGTGTTAAGGTGCATCTAGTGCAGATAGTGAAGTAGAGTAGAATCTACTGCCCTAAGTGCTCCTTCTGGCATAAGTAACTCTAATCAGCTTGTGCACTTTTTTGGTCACTTGTGAATCTTTAGCTTTGCAGTCTTCTACCAGTTTTGCATGGTTGCACCACAAGAAGAAATTAGTTGTGCAAATCTATGCAAAACTGATGGTGGACTGGGTTGACTGGTAAGTGAAGTGAATCTTTGCCTCTGGAGGCTAATAGCTGAAGCAGTATTAAAGTGCTTATAGTGCAGGTAGTGTTGTAGTAATCTACTGCAATATAAGCACTTGAGTACTACCAGCTAGCAGACTAAAGCTGTAATAGTTGTGACCACGGAAAGCTTCTCTAGTTAGTTTTGCAGGTTTGCATCCAGCTGTTAATAAGTATTGCTGTGCAAATCCATGCAAAACTGACTATAGAAGTAAAATACAACTAATGTTGGAAGTATCCACTTCTCAAGATAAACCCCATCTTACACAGGTTGGGATTTGTTGCAATGCTGACAAACGTACATGGTATTGCACTTGTCCCGGCCTGTTAAGGATGGTGGGCACAGTTGGATGTAGCAGCAAGAGCCTGGAGACGACAAGACAGCCAAAATTTAAGTTAAATGCCAATTTGTTATGGGATGCTGATCACTGTTACAAAATGAATAAACTAGTGCAACTGCACTTTTTTTTTTTTTTTTGAAGGAGATGTAGTTTCTTGTTTGGACCAAGCTGCTTGAACTAACTGTTCTAGTCCTATTAATGCCCTCTAACTGCTAGATGGAGTTATGTGACTAGAGGTGGCTTAGTTCTTGCTATTTGGACGTTAAGGGGCTGGGAGGTGCCATTGGAGTAAGTGTGAATTTTAGAATGTATTATGTGGTGGTGTACATTGTCTTAATTCCCATCCTGTACTAAGGTGTATATTGATGCCAATTATGAGTACTGTCCTGGATGATGTCACAATGCTTGTTGTGCCCATCTGCCTGATTTAATACTTGTAGATGGACTTGCTTCAAATTGCTCATTTTTAAAAGAAAAAAGGTAATGTATTCATATCAAATTTAGAAAATTGTGTAGGATGGGGTCCAATTCAGTTGTGAATCTTGTTCTATCGGACTTTAAAATTGGAACTTGGGTCCAAACCTTGAGGTGCTAATAAAGGTGAAATTGTCCCATTCACTAGCACATTTTACATAATACATAATCCCCTGTCTGATTTGTCTGTTTTTTCCTCTAGTATTGTAGAAATGTAGGCCTTTGGAATTTATTTTAATGTAAAAGATGGTTCTGAGTGTGTGCTGCATGGTCCTTCATTTGATTTGAGCTTTATGGCTTATGTTCCTTAAATATTTTAGCTGACTTTTGAATGTGTGTCCTGGAAATGAATACATGCCACTTGATCTGAATTAGTCACCAAGTGTGAAATGTCCTGATGTGCAGTGCTGGATTGTTTATTTTGCCTTTTCTGTTGCTCATGCAGGGATGAATTCCAAGAAAAAAGGTAAGACTGTCTTCAGAACAAAATATTTGTGAACAAAAACAAATTGCTGGATAATCTTAGCAGGTCTGTCAGCATCCAGAATGAAATCAATTTATGTTTTCAGGTCCAGTGACCCTCTGAGCAACTGTGGAAGGGTCATTGGACCGAAAATGTAAACTGATTTCTCTTTGGATGCTCCCAGACCTGAGCTTATCCAGCAGTTTCTGATGTACAGCATCTGCATTTCTTTCAAGTTTTTTAAAAAGTACTTGTGAAACTACTCCGGTCTTTGGGCTTTCTAGAAAGCTTCATCTGGTGAATTTTGCTTCTAGACAAAAGTTAGATAAATGATCAGAATAATCAAACTTGATGGCTAGCTTTTTCATTTGTTTGCTTGTAAAATACTGCATTAAATCATAGTTGCAGTAACTAGTGTGCTTGAACTAAGAGTTAATTGTCTAGTTATGGTTGACTACAGGCCTTCCTGATCACTTTTTTCCTAGTGGGATTAGGATTTTTAATTGAAATTGAAGGAGAAACAAACTTGTGGAAATTATAAGTATAAAATTTTAAATATTTGTAAAGTTAAGTCAGTTATCAAAGTGCGCATCTTTAACTGGAGTATTTATGAAATGGTTTGAGCATTTTCAATACTTGTGGTCCATTTGGGCTTTTAAAATCTTTAAATTACTGATGATTAACCTATTAACAGGCTGAATTACTGACATGCCTGTGTCTACCTGTATAGTTGACCTACTGGATGAATTTGCAATTGGGCCTGGGTCTATTTTGGATGACTGAGATTGAAATTGGAGGAGTTGATCCACAGTTTCAATGGAACAGTGAAGTGCACTTAAGTCTGCATTGTTCCTACTTTAGCTTGCTGCACAAGTCCTTGACAAACATGTGGCCGCAGAGCCACTAGTAGCCCCTGATCTTGTTCTGAGTTTTATGGGGGTGTTGGTGGTGCTATGGGTGTTGAACTGTAACACTTGATACTGTAAAATCAATGTATATTTGGTGTTTAGGGGAAATGTCTTAAATACTTATTGAGAATAGCAGTATCTAATGTGAAGATTAGGGATTCTGGTTTGAAGCTAGGGAAAACAGGTAAAGGTTTGGGAGTTTTGTTTGAAAATAACTCATACAGTATGAAAGGATATTAAGATTTTGTAATGGGCAATGGAGCAAAGTGTAATGAAATCAAAGGTTGGTCTTTGCTCAATGAATTTGTGGACAATATTTATTTGGGATAATTTCAAATATGAAGAAGAATTTGAGCTCTTCACTTTGACAGTGGAGAGACTGCTGGGGTATGAGATTGACCAAGCGTCTGGGAAAACGGTAATTGTATCAAGGTTTGGACTCAACCAAAGCAAGAGACCATCCAAAGTTGAACTTCTAAATTTGAAGACTGACTAAAACAGGTGAGACAGATCTAAACAGCAAGAAGGAAAAAGGACGAGTCATGGAGAAATGACTTTATGTTGCAAGTTGTCATTCCCAATAAAAGTAGGAAGAAACAGAGCAAAGACCCACTCTTGAGGGAGAATGATGGATATCTGAATTATCTTGAGAACCAGATCAAATGCAATGTTGATGAGGGAATCCAAAAAGCAAAATGAGAATGGAATGACGGTTTAAAATTTTAAAAATCTACCAGCATGTAAGGGTTTCCACTTTGGATACCAGTGAGGATGACATTTATTAGACTGCTATCTGGGTCATAACAGGAAGTTTAGCTGTGTGAAAAGCAAGGAGAGTGCAAAGACCATAATGCTGGGATACATACTTGGATGCAAGTGGTTCTTTGGTTGTGTATGTGACGCTCCAGGAGGATGTGTTGCCTGCATGATAGCAAAGTAGAAAACATCCTACAGCTTTTGACATCCTCAAATGTCCAGAGTCTGTGGTTCATGCTATTATACATGACTTTAATCAGGGCTGGGGGCATGAGGTTCTGAAATTCCATTTTTCAGCCAATTGGTATTATTGCTTTTGGAGGACCTGGTTTACAAATTTCATGTTTTTGCTCACCAACACAAGAAAATGGAGTGTTGATCATGTGGCTGGAAAACTGGGGTTAGCAGGAGGTTGGAAACTTCAGAGGGAGTTCTGCTTCAAGATAAGTAACTCTAGTAAAAATTACTAGAGCACTATTGAAAGTAAGACCAAGGCAAGCATCAACTTTTGTTTAAAAGCATTATAATGTGAATGCACAAACTGAGGTAATTGGATATGCATTTAACTACCATGTGGATATATTGCAATAGTGGAGAACAAACTATCCAGTGATCCACCTTTTTTTTTAAGATAACATTGTGGAGAGCCTTTTCTAATGGGTGACTGCACGTTTTTAACTATCACTTAAGGTGGAAGATTAGTTTGGGTGTAGTCAAGTAGCAACGATGAAAGGTAAACATCTCACTATGGAGAGCACTTAAAGAAACAAGATCTACACTGAAATGTACTTGCCTCTAAGGCAGGAATACTGAAAGGCAAAGTTGAACCTAACATGGTTAACAATTTAACATTTTTGTTTCATGAGATCAAAAAGTGACATTCCTATATATATTGTCCCCATGTCTGTATGGGTTTCCTCTGTCCAAAGACATGCAGGTTAGGTGGCTAAATTACCCACAGTGTTCAGGTGTGTGCAGGCTGGGTGGATTAGACGTGGAAAATGCAGGATTACAGGGATAAGGAAGGGTGTAGGACTGGGTGGCATGCTCCTTTGAAAGGTTCTGTTCCTACACACAGGCATTCTATGCTAAGTGGGAATAGACAGTTCAGCCCCTTGAGTTTGCCCTGCAATTGCACATTCCTGTCTATTGCAATAACTCTTGCTTTCCCACTGCCAAACAAGAATATCAACTCCTTAAAGAAAAGAAAAACTGCTCATACCTTCTGTGATCCCAAAAAATTGCCCTGAGGGCAGCTGCTTAGGGTAGCAATTCTTCAGTACTGGTCTAAAGAAGAAATGTCCTTTCACTTGCTGCAGACTTCAGGATCTTGCACACTTGAATCAAGTTGCTCTCTACTTTTCTGAACTCTAGAAAAAAGGAATTCTGTCTTGTCTCGTAAACCACCTCAAACACTTGCGTTCTTAAATATGATCCTAACTGCTCATAACATAATCCCAACAATTACTTGTATTTAGCAATAACTTTATTACAAAAGCCTGGTCCCTGCCTTGTCCACCTGGGTTTAAAATATACATGAAAGAAAACAAGATTTGTTAAAAGGCATTATCTGTTGTATATTACTCATTTCAATGTGTATTTTGTTTCAGTAAATTATGCTAACTGTTGTCCTGTAGTCACACAAAGGACTAAGGGGACAGATTTGAAGTTTAGGAGGCAATGCAAAGGACATGTAAGGAATTACTGCAAACAGTGAAATGTTCATTTTACAATGTTTCTCAAAGCTAGGAACTATATTGTGCAGAAAAATTTGTCCAGAACACAACATTGCTGAGTCAGGGTACTGAGCAACATGGTGTCTTCCCACAGTATAGGGTGCAATCTGAAAATACGTTGAGTCTCAGTTTAACACTGAACAGTGGTGATAACCTGGACCTTGTTGCTGATGGAAGTGGAAACTGAACAATTTCAAATATTTTGGAGTAGATACTTGGACAAAAGGAATTGGCCTGACTGGTGGCATGAGTCTGGATCAATCTCTGTACACAAATCGCTGTCCCCTGTGCTGTAATGACAGACTAAACATCACTTAATTTCAGGAGATCATCTCAGTTGGTTTTTCTTTGGGGGAAATGATTTGATATTTTGTTTTCAAAACTGAATCAATGAAGCTGGAGGTAGGGGGTGGCCAATGTGGGGGAGAGTGGTGGTGGAGTTAAAGATAGAATAACTTGCACTCTAATCAGGGAAGGTCGTGACATGACATAACATACAAGTACAATTTTGATAGGTGGATAAAGGCACTGAAAACAGAATGAAATGTGACACTTGGATTATTACTTTGGAGTTCAAAAATTCACTTCCTGTAGTAGTGGGAACTTGTGGAAGAGCTGAGAGTTAAGACTGCAAGATTAGAAGCAGAAATGGCAGATGATTGAGTTGGTTCCTAAATCAAAGTTTTTGGCTCATGGCATCAATTTCAAATCTGATTCTACAATCTATAAGGATCTCAATGGAAAATTGTAATTTGCATATTTTGATTGTGGACTTTAAAACTTTTTACTAAGTCCTGTTTTTAAAGGAAAAATTTCCCATTACAAAAGGGCGCACACTTAATGATTGCAAGCTGCACATTTGTGGTGCATCTCTTTGAAATACATCAAGGTGATAAATTCAAAGCTTAGTCCCCAGAGACTCTCTTGTTTACCTGGCCCTGGTGTATCTAGTTGTAACATTTTTTTGTCTTTTCAAACATGTTTTCTTGACTAACTGCACCAAGAGTGAAGAACTTTGAAATTCCTAGACAAAGTGCCTATTGTAATGGATTAGGGGCGGGGGAGCTTCAACTTGCAGAAGTGGTCATAATGCTAGTTGTTTTGGCAATTTAATTCTGGTATAAAATAATTGGTCAATGGATGTTCAGGCTTTGAGAACTTGAATGCCTCAACCTTTTGAAACAAACTTTAGCCAAATAAGGAGACCAATTTTAATTGCTATCTAAAATACGTAACTGAGTATTTACTTAACCTTTTGGGTAGCTGTTACTGAGGAAGGAGCAGATAGATTTTCAGAGAACATTTGAGGCATTTGCAAGAGTCTTGAGGCCAGACAGTGTAAATGTGACAAATCATTAAACCATAATTTGCTATGGCGGGACATCTTTGTTAGCTGTTTAGCTTTTAACAACTCTGGGGTAATGTTGCTGAACTGGAGTCTCCATTTTGGAGGGAACTGGGATATCTGAGATCTGAATGAACTAGGTAAGCAACTGGTGTATCTACAATCAACATATTTGAAGGACTGTGAAATTGGCAGCACAAGGTTTAAGATGTTTTTAAAAGGTGCTTGTATGTAGATGTTAGGATATTTACTTGATTT